AGACGCACCTCTAAGCCAAACACCGTCCGGCAAGACGCACCTCTAAGCCAAACACCACCCTCCAAGACGGGTCCAAGGTTTCGGGCATTAAGGGTCTTCGAGGCCTCTTTTGGATATGTAGGTATCACACACGGTTTTTGTAGAGGTGCAAGGGCTACGTGCTAGGACTGGGGAAACGCATGATGGCTTCCGCGCGTTCTCATTCATCTGTGGATGCAGCAGGTCGTTCTTGCACTTCTTGCTCTTCTTTTCGCTGCTCTTCTTTGCCCTGAACCTTACAAGCCTCTGCCCTAAACCTCAAACCTTAAACAGTATAACCACGTAACCCTCAAGCCAATAAATTGACCCCTAGATAACCACAATATTGTCCCTATCATGGTAGTTTCCATTTTCTTTCCCACTATCCCCATATGACCCCCAAATGTACCCTATAACCCCTTTTTGAATGAATCCTAACCCAAAAAGTTCATTGTGGAGGTGAAGGCGTGAGACATGTGCGGCGCTGAGAGGGGCAGAGGGGGCATCCGCAAGTTCATGTACCTTCCTGATGTTTTAGGATTACGCGGTTTAGGGTTTAGGAATAAGGATTTAGGGCTTTAAAGGGCTTAGGGTTTAGGGCTTAGGTTTTGTTTTATGGTCATGGGGGTTGGAGGGTTTAGGGTCTTAGGGCTCAGGATTCTGGTGTGAGATGAAGTGTACACCCTGACTTCCCCCTAAAACCCTGAAACCTCACCCTAAACCCTAAACCTCAAACCCTAAACCCTCAAACCCTAACCCTGAACCCTAACACCCTAATTAAACCCTAACACCCTAAACCCCAAACCCTGCCCTCCCCCCCTAAAACCCTCAAACCTCTAAGGTGCTGGTGTACGACATCGGTGGTGGCACCTTAGACACCTCCCTTCTCTACATGAACGGGAACGCTGTCCGCTGGCTCAGAGCACTTGGAGGGTCAGGGGGACTTCGTAAGTAGAGTAATAATGGGGATAAGTAGTGTTACTATGTGGGTTATGGGGGCTATTAACCTACTAAGTCCCCCTGACCCTCCAAGCAAGAAGCGACCGTGAAGGGTGGTGAATGGTAACTACGGGGCTTTTTTCCATACGCTCTAGAGCGTCAAAGGTGCAGATTAAATTCTAATTACAGGGCTGAAAAATTGGAGTCAAAGGCGTTTAGGGTCTTGGGGTCAACTGTGAACCTGGATAGCCTTGCCTATTTGTTGCTTTCACTTGGGCTGAGTGCTTCATACTGACCCCCCAATATTCGTCTGCCAGTGTAGCACAACTCCTCACAGTGTGACCGGGTAATGACATATGGCCCCTCGTCCTGGTATCAGTTTCATCCGATGTATTGTGTCCGGGCAGATCCAAGTCGCATCATGCTGTCGTTGGTTTCATTGTAGTGTTTGATGATCGTTTGCGTATACATGTATATATGTATATATGTATATATACACGGTGCTGCAGGCGCCTTAGGAATGCTGGCGAAAATGTGTAACGTGGGGTGTTAGTTTCGAGGGACTATTTTTTTTTCCAAGCTACTCTGCAACCCACCAGAGAGGGCTTCCAGCGGCCCAAGCCCGCCCCCCACCATAGCAGTTTCCAAAGCAACTACAAAATTGATGAGATGGACTTGGCAGCCGAATATACCTCAAACCGTAAATCCTAAGTGCTAAGCACTATAGATCCTAAACCCTAAATCCTAAACAAGACATCCTAAATCCAAAACCCTAAACCCCTACATCCTAAACCCTAAATCCTAAACCCCTACACCCTAAATCCTAAACCCTAAACCCCTACATCCTAAACCCTAAATCCTAAACCCTAAACCCTAACCATTTTAGGTCAGTGTCCTAAGTGTTGCTGGCGACGATCATCTGGGTGGCTCCGACTTTGACACTCAGCGCCTCGCCTACTTATTTGAATCTGAGGGCTTTAGGGTTTTAGGGTTTGAGGGTTTTAGGGTTTAGAGTTTTCAATGTGGGGTTCAGTATTTGTTTAGGGTCTGGGTTCAGGGTTTTGGGTTTTGGTTTTGGGACTCATAGCGCTTAAGGCTTGGCGGGCTCAGCTGTTCAGGGTTTAGGTGTTTGGGTTTCGGGTCTTTGGGGGGACTTCGTAAGACCATTTCGAGCTCTGACAAGGCACCACTAGGCAGGGCATAGCCTAAGCTAAACCCGGGTAATATCCTATAGTTACTCATAACTTGGGTACTGCCGCCACCCAGTAACAGTCTATATTAGGGGTCCTATTAAGGGCTATATATAGCCATAGTATAATTATTGTCCAACTGTTACTGAGGGGGGGGCAGTACTAATCTCATAACTGCTGCTTTAGATCGCACTAGAGTAAGAGACTTATCTCGCCATCAACACTTGGGTTATTCTCGAAATTATGTGCCTTTTTTGATTTTTTTTTTAAAAAGATATTGCAGCACCTACTATTGAGGGGTACCAAAATTAAATGGACCCTAATTTTGGGAAGTACCCGATTGTTCACGTCTAGAGTTGATGGTCTAGGGTTCAGGGTTGCGCAGGGTCGAGAGTTGAGGGATTATGTTTAAGTTCTAGGACTTACTTGGAGGGTCATAGGGACTGAGTAAGTAGGTTAATAATGGGGATAATTGCGGTTACTCCCTAAACCCTAAACCCCTATGTGCGTTATAAGGGTTATGAGCCTACTTACTAAATCCCCCCGACTTCCCAAATGGGTTATTTTGGCTTTGAGCAGGCTTCCGACTGGTCAGCTCCTGTATTAGATTCTTCCCCAGATATCCAGGAATCCCCCCTCTCTGAAAGTACATATGAGGTATAGCCCCTACCCTGTAACAGTGGCTATGATGGAGAAAAAAAAGGACGGATAATGTTGGTTTACTATTATATTCCTATTCTACCAGTATGACAGGGTGGGAGGGGTCCTCCTAGAGTATTATATATATAGATATGGTACCCAGTAGGATGGTTTGTGCATGCCCCCATTTTGACTCCGAACTTGTGCCTCCGCAGTCTTGTATTCTGATCCTCGGCGATTGCCCACAACAGCACAGCAGCAAGAAGGGCCACAATCTTCGATAGCAACATGAGCAGCTATCCTAAACCATTAGACGCTAAACTCAAAACCCTAGACAGCTTTCCTTCCCACAAAAGGCCTAAGCAAGCTGCACCCAGGATGCGACAGCTCCTGGAAGCGAAGCTAGTCGCGGCCTCAAGCGTTTTAGACTTAACGCCCCGTTTTGGGGGGTCATCTGGGCTGTAAACTTACTGGTTCTTCGTAGGAATAAGGGAGTATGTTACGTAGGGAGTATACAGGGGCTATATTCCCTTATTCCCTACTAAGAACCAGTAAGTTTCTGGGGGTCATCTGGGCTGTAAAGGGGTAAAGTGGACAATCATGCAGGATGATTGATCGAAATTAGAGTTTCCTCGTTATCCCCAAATCGAGATCCCCAAGGTTTAGAGTTCAGGGTTCTCAGAGCAGAGACGATGTCTTGAGACGCTCCCACACATGCTGGAACAGCGGCGGCTTGATTCTCGGCTCCTGAGGAGCGCGATGAAGCGCGGACTGTGCCAGCTGGCGCCGGCAAGGCAAGCACCACATGAAAGGTGGTCATATGATGCCATAGTCTAAACTCCTTAAGTGGGTTTTAGAGCGGATTATATAGGGTTATATAATGGCTAAACCCCGTAGAGGGGGGTATATATAGGGGAGTATTATAGGGGTTATTGAGGGGGATACTAGGGAGTTTGGACTAGGGCTCATATGGTGCCGTGGGGTTCAAAATCCTACCCATGTTGGAAATCAATGGAAAAGACAACGGAGAATGACATGGAAAGTGGGATTATTTTTTATACGGCCCGAAATCATTTCTAATATCATGGTTCCATATTCCTCGTATAAGTATAGGAAATGGTACCTCAAATGGACCTCAAAATAATATTGGTAATTATTTGGGCGCCTTCAGTAGGCGCTTACGGCCCTGAACCAGGAAATCCTCAAGCCCAAAAAAATCGGAAACTCTGAGAATCACCATGAACTCCTATCTCATAAAGCATCCTCAAAGGGAATCCAGGGACGAAAATAGGGAGTATAGGGAGTCACAATGAGGGGTCCTTTTCAGTGAACGACTTGTGCCCTTTAGCCCCCACACCCTTAACCTTGAACCCTGAAACAATGCCCAAACTCTAAACACTAGCTTTGGCCCCTAAGCCCTAAACCTTAAACACTAAACTCAGACTCAAGCCCTTTCCCCCCTTGTATCCTGAGCTTGGTTGCTGTCGAGGCGTTTATAACAAAGAACCCATGTTAGCTACTATCTATCCATACTATGATATCATTCAAGCAACCCACTGAAACCATCACCCTCAACACCAAAGCCTGTAGGAGCGATGTGACAGCTCCGGGCTCCACATCTTGGCAGAAGCAGTCAAGATCAGGCCGCGCCATGTTCTCTTTTGAAACTTTGGGGTTTAAGGTTGAGGGCTTATAGGGTTATGGGAGTTTCCTCAAATTCTGGGTCTCTTGATACCGGTTTGTGCATTGAGATGGAAGGTTTTCTGGGGTTCGGGATTTTGACTGGTTGGGCAGCTGGCAAGAATCAGAGTCACCTATATGCCAAACTAGCCTAAAAGCGAGTCTACCCTGCGAAGAACGCAAATGGGCCGATGAATGCTGACAATCATCATTTTCTGGCGATGTAGGTCTTCAGAGTACATGTGCACACATGTGTGCCCATCGGCTGATTGGATGGACAGATCAGTTGATTATGTTACAGGGTGTATTACATAGGGGTTAGATACGGGATATAGGGAAAATGGAAAAGACATGGAAACCGTTTATTTGCGGTGTAAGGTAAGGTTAAGTTAAGAGTTTAGGGTTGCATTACAAATTGCAGTCGGCTGGTCAGAGAAATCGGGCTTCCACCACTTGAATTGTTGACTGCGGGAGGCGGGGGGTTACGGCAAGCGAGGCGCTGGCACAGATGAAGCCCTTTTGCCTGTTGCAAGTCAGGGTTTACCATGAACTAGGGGTACCTTTAGTTGGCGGAACCCTTGCCAATTTTGGGAAATCATACCACCAGTCACCCCATTAGAAGAAAAATCCTAAACTCCCAACTATATCACTACTACTTCCCCATTACCAATACCAGTATAGGAATCACCAAATAGCTTTTCCATGTTAACCGGGTATTCCTATACTCCCACTACATCAGATATCTTCCCCAGGAATCACTACTGCTCCCCATGCAACTGCACCAGATGTCCGGTAGGAGCCTTCGTATATTTTAGAACATGCAAATATTCCACACGAGAAAGCCTGTACATAATCCTTTTCAAGACGCATCATGCCACACCAGAGAGGTGCTCCCTTCATTTCGTGTCCCAGGGCATGGGTTCACGTTGTGATTGTTCAGTGTGCCATCTGGTGTGGCGATGCATGCGAGCGAACAGTGACAAGCACGACGAGTTCAGCAATAGCCGCGCCACCAGATGAAGGTCAGCCAGGCAAATTTGCAAGGTCATTTGCGTTCTGTCACGCAGTTATCCCACATTTTAGGGCTTGAGGCAGATGCCACTTCATTGATGGCAGGTCAGGTTGGCTGCGTCATTCGCGTGTGCGAATGTTTTGACTTTCACGGTTGCTGCTGTCTTCACTAGACTAGATGGGTGACGTGTTGCGCTGTTCATCGTTATTGCTGCCTTTGCTAGTAATTTGAAAGCCCTTGTTATCTTCCGGAGGTTGTGGTTCGCAGCGTAGTTGGTCAATTCCCTACATATACCCATGGACTATCGTTGTGTGGAAACTACATTTAAGCGGCCGGCATGCCTGCTGCAATTTGGGATGTTGGGTTCTATGGCTGTCGTTATGGCCTATCGTGCATATCTCATCATTCAGAAAGCGGACCATCCCCCAGTGGAAGTGGAGGTGGAAAGTGCCCGTGGCTCGGGCAAATGGGCGATTTGCGAGCATCCAGACTTTCGCACACTCTACGGCGCAGGGTTTGGTATCATGAGTGGACAATGGCTTGGTGGGTCTGCTGTGTCTGGCCAGAGTCTTGCCGGTCAGGACGGCTCGAAACTATCCACCCAAGTCATCGAATTTGGCGGATGGAAGCTCAGTTGCGCCATTGTGGATTTGACAAGCCACCCGTTGCAGGCCTATCCCGGCGCGTTCTGGCTGTGCTCACAAGCTGCCGTGACATGGTTTCTTTTGGAGACAGACAAAAAGTGGGTCAGAGTCGCTGAGCACGGTCCAGGCCATCTGGCAGTTCAACGGCTCAGTATGCAGAGGTATGGATGGGATTGGGGATATGATTCCAACCATTCTGACGTGTTTGCCACATTGCCAATTATAGAGAACCCAAAAGGAGCCCGACACCATCAGAAGCATTGCCATATGACGCAGTTTGAAAAAAAAAGGCAGGATGCGACTCTCTTGCTTATTGTCATCGACAGTCCCCACGTCATTGTCACAACTAGCCTGGGCATCCTCCCGCAGATGACTTCCTTGCTGGGTACTTTGGGCGGTCTCATGACTGTGATGGGCTTGATCTTTACCACCGTCTTTGTCCAGAAGTACCCGGATTCCAACGTGGTGGCCACGTTTCGAAGTCGTACGCTCATCGGTCATCAAGAGAATGGGAACCCTGCACTGCCGCCACAAGATGATGGCAAGTGCCCGGTGCCACCAGTGACATATACCTCCCAGCAACAGTTGCCAAACAAGGTCGTTACAAGAGCGAGGAGGCAGTCCGGAGTGCCTCCAATTCCTGTTCCTCCAGGCATTAGACACCCTTAGATACATCAGCAGCGCTGACAGATGCGTTGCCACGAAAAAGGCTTGTCACTCTGCGTGCTCCGCGTGCTCCATGCGCTTGCGTTCATCCCATCCCACGATTTCTAATATCTCAGTAACACACCACATTTCCCATTCAGTAACCTGCAGGTGGTGATGGGCAAGCATAATTACAAGCAGTTGTGTGTTGCTTGGGCTTGCAACTGCAGCAGATGCCGATGGGAGACCTGAACCTGCAAGCACTGCGTATCCTACCTTCTCGGTTGTTACACGCGAGTGTGCATTCCCTGCGCATCCCAAGTCCAATCCCTACCTGCCAGGTTCTGCTCCATCATCTCGGTGGAAGTGCGCCCCCAGCCGACTGCCACCTTCACCAGTGCTTTGGGCGGCTCATGGGTCTTCAAGGTTTTCATCATTGCCTGAAGGCCCTTGGAGCGAAAATCAAACAGAAAAGGAACGCCGATCTTGCTTTAGAATCCACACGAAGTTTAAAACAGCAAGACTCAGAACCCTGCGCGAAGCACACAACAGCCAAAAACACCAAACGCATTGGTAAATCAACATAGAAATCAAGTCACTTAGAAGGCTGGCGTCGAAAACTATGGTTAACATTGTTATGTGTTCAAAACCATTGGCAACATTTTCTTCGTAACATGTTCTGCATGTCCTCGTTTCCATCATTTCCTCTCTGTAGATGAAGGTAAAATTTCCAAATATGTTTATCAATCAGCAACGCCTAGAATTGTCCAACATGTAAAACGGATCAGTATCGTTCACGAATTTGTTCATTAAGAGTTTGGAGTTTGGAGGCACATTTGTGGAATGCCGAACGATCTGTTTTGTCGAAATACTCTTCCTTTTTGGTAATGTTCTCTAGCCTTTTTGTATGACTTATCAAAAAGGGGAAGATACGATGGATTCTTTTTTGAACCCTACAGAATATGTCAGCTTATTCTTCGTTATGAATCTTTTCATACCCCAGTACTGTTGAGAAGTTGCAACGTGCCAGATATGAAGTAATGTTGTCAGTAATATTGTCATGAAGTAAAGCGAATGCATCAATACTTCACGTTGTGGTTTCTATGTGCTTTACACTGACACTCCACATTCAAAGTTTATGTCAGATGTATTTGTTGGTCCCAGGTTTTTTTTTCCTAGGG